ATCGGCACCCGGAGATGATGGTGGCTCAGCCCTCATGGAGGCACTCAGCCCATGAAGTCAAGGACATTCATTCTATTACCAGATGGCACCTGGTATCTCATCTCTGGGCAAATGTAACCACAGCTCAAGACAGTACCCTCCTCACCAGCCTCCATGCCTCCTGGGCATCTCTCTGTACTGCCACCTACTTCATGAAGCTTTCCTCGAACCCCTTAATGAGGCCTGATACATAGTAAGCACTCAGAAAGATTACAACTTCACCCTGCTCTGAGCGCCCCTGTAAGGCGGAGTTCAGGTCTCTGTGGGCTTGCCTTTAATCTACCCACGGGACCTGGGGCGACAGGATGGTTGGGGTGGGGGGGAAGCTCCAGCGTAGGGCCTGGTGTTCAGGGCGGTCCTCAGCACACACTCACACACACAAAATCCCTCTGATTCCCTGAACCCTGAAATGAGAGCCTGCAGTTTAAACATCTGAGTGGGTCCAGGCTTGGAAATTCGATGCACCCATCACTGTGCACCCATGCAACAATATTTATTCCTTCTAGGCCCTGGTGATGTGGCAGGTCACCAAGACAGACCAAATCGTGCCCTCGTAAAGCTGAGCACAAAGTAATTTAATGAATTATCACAGGGGCTCTGGGACTCCAGGGTTTGGGGGGCCTTGGCTGCTGGCCTGTGGTGTGATCAAGGCGAGTCCTTCCCCTTCTCTGGTCCTCACTACTAATTTGTAAGGAATCTTCGTGTTTTGGGGAAAATACCTGCTGAGTAAAAGGGGGAAACACCCTTTCTTTTCTCTGTTGGGGAGCACCTGACATCATTGCTTGGGGTGCTACTCTGGTTGGGTCCCTTTAAGGGTGCTATTGTCGTCCTGTAGGTTTTCAAGATGTCTTAGTCCTCCTCTGAAAGGAACCTCCCGATTTGGGGCCTGGAGTTTGAGATGCTCTGAGCAGAGCTGTGGCACAGGCTTTTAGTCAAAAACATTTCCTTGGGGAACAAGGTGGGTTTTCTTCTACCCTTGGTAGAGAATATAGATTAGAGCAGACCTTAAAAAACAAAGAAAGAAAAAGAACACCCTCTTCCCCCACCCAAACCTGCCAGCCTCTCTCCAGTGGTACTGAGCAGAATTCGTTTCTGTCTTCCACTTCTCACCAGTGGAAGGTGTGGGTTGTTTTAAAAGGATTGGCGTTCTAGGCCTGAAAAAAAAAACAAAAGACACGGTACCAATCATGATAGCATGGTCTCCCAGAGGCAGCTCTCGTCCACGGGTCTGTTTTGTGCTGTCAACACAGAGTTTTATCAATTTGAGCCAATATTTTTCAGCCTGGGATGTTTTTGCATCTGCATCTGGTCATCTGGTTTCTGTGACCGCAGCCGGCAGGGCAGCGCCCTCCCCCACCCCGCAGTGTGCTGGCCTGGCCCTGGAGGTATGGCAGGTATGGCAGGAATGGCCGTGTGTTGCAGGTGGATCCCAGTGGAAGTGGAGGGGAAGTGACTCAGGAACTTCAGCTCAGTAGCCTTTCCATCCACAGCCCTCGAATGGGGACCCTTAGCACTTTCCTAGGGCAGTTCAAGGCTAGAGCTGGGGAAATCCAGGCGGCTCCACACTCCTCCCCCCAGGCTGTGGCATGAACCTTCCAGGGCAGCCCCTTTGCCAATCTCTGCTGGGAGTTGGGTGCAGCTCGCTCCAGGCAGAGGGCCATTTAACTTGCCTCCTTGCATGCAAAAGGTTCAGCCTTTTGTGGAGAGAAACAGAGGCAGCCAGACTCTGCTGAAAGCCCCAAATCTGGGACCTGGAATGTTTTCAGCAAACTTTGTTACCGTCGCTGATTCCTGTGACCCAAACCTACTAAGTCTCATTGTAGGGCACACCTCGCCTGTGTCCCTTCCCCTCTCTGAGCCATCACAGGGCTCAGGGACATGGGAGAAGTTTTGTCCCCTCAACAGTTCATCACCTCTGACACCTCCCTGCCGCCCTCAGGCCCACCCCTGGCTCGGCTCTGTCTTGGGTTGCTGCAACCACAATAATAACATACCTGGGCCCCTCAGACTTGGGAGCTGTAGACCTCACCTGGGATCTTGTTAAAATGCTCCTTTCCATGCAGAAGGACTAAGATGGGGCCTAGATTCTGCATTGCTAACCAGCACTGGTGTGGTTAGCAATGGACCCTCTGAGTCCAGGAGATAAGTCGCAGCTGTGGGGCCCCCACTGCCTCTGAAGACCAGGCTCAGGGCCTTGTAAGCACCATTTCTCTAATCACCACAAAAGATACCATTGTTCCCATTATGCACATGAAAAGCTGGGGCCCCAGAGTGAGCAGGTAACTCGCCCAAGGTCACACAGCTGGGAGGCAGCTGAGCCAGGCCAGACCCTCTGGGCCCGTGCCACCTTGGAAAGGATGCTGGTGGGGAAGCCCTTTTCTACTGAACAGTGTCCCTGGTCCAAAAGCCACAGGAGGCTTCTAAAGGCAGCCAAGTCGGATGTAAATCAGGGAGAGCCCAGGGCCCGCCAGGCCGTGCTGACAGCAGGCAGCCCAGGCAGTGTGTCAGGCCCAGGCCCGCAGCGGGATTTGGTGCTGGCAGGCTGCCTGGTGCCGAGAGCCGCTGGGGGATGCTCACAGCTCCTGGAAGAGCCTGCTGAGCCCAAAGAGGCTCCATGTCCCTGACAGCCTCCCCAATACTTAGATAAATGCCAGGGTGGAGGGCTGGCCGGAAGGGTGGGCAATGGAATGGTCATCAGCTGGGACCTGGTACTTTCGTTGTTTAAAGACTGGCTCATCCTCAAACCACAAAGGCACTTTCCTTAATTGGGGGTCTGCTCTGAAGACCGAACGACCTTGGTCTCCTGCCCAGCTGGGGCTTTATTTTGCACTGGCACCTGCCCCAAGCTACCAAGAAGAGTAGAATAGACTTAGAATCTAGGTCCTCAAAATGTGGTCACTGGACCAGCAGTCATCATCACCTGGGAGCTTGTTCAAATGCTCACTCACACCTGGGGTGGGCCCAGCTCTGTTTTAACAAGCCCTCCAGGCTTAGCTTTGAGAAGGGCTGATTTCTCTGGCATCTCTCTGTACTGGGGAAGGTATGTACACAGTCCTAACCTTCGCAATACGCTTTCTTGGTAACTAGAGTAACACCGCTGTAGGGGAACCTCAGATGTCATTCCATCTGTACCCCACTTTTCTGATGGCCTGAGTGTCAGAGAAGGAGGCATGCATGAAATTACCCAGCACATTCAAAGCAGGGCATAGGTCTCCATTCTTAGGGTTGCAAGTGGCAGAAATCAGTTCAAACTAACAAAAAAGAAAACAAAACAAAAAAACAATACCACACATTTACTGGCTCCTTTACCTGAAAGGCCCAGGGTCATGCTTCAGGCATGGCTGGATCCAGGTGTTGTGAGCTGTTATTGGGACTCCTTTCGCTCCATTCCTGGGCTCCATGTCCCTCTGTTGGTTCCATTCTCCTTGGGGTGCTCCCAGCTGCAGGGTGTTCCCCCTCCCATAGCTATCTCAGCTTAGAAAGAGCCTTCTTTTCCCCCAATATTTTTAGTATAACTCCTGTCGTCACTGTCATTGTCCAGGCTTGGTCATGTGCCTGTCCTTGAGCCAATTGTGACAGCCCCTCTGATGGACTAGGCCTGGCTCACGTGCCCACCCCTGCAAGTGGAAAGTGGGCCCACCCAAAACTCCACAGACTGCGAGCAGGCATGTGTGGGTCTCCCGGTGGGATTTATGTGGGCTGTCCCTAGAAGAAGGGGCCTGGTTGCCAGTCGGCTAGAACTACAGGGATTTAGTGCCATTCTTATTCTCCTCTCTGAGCTGGGCTGGCTTCATGCAACAGCTAAGGCCTCGCCCCAGAGGGAATTACACTCTCCTTCCTCCGGTTCCCTCGCTGCTGTGCTTGTGATTGTGTATTAAGCATGCCGCCTTCATCTTTCCCTTTGTCCCTCTTCCCTTGATATTATCCAGGGCAGTAAGGTGCACATCGCCACTTCCACCCCCCACGTGAGTTGGAAACGTTACTAATCCACCCCAGCCTTCACATGTGTCCACCCAGAACATAAAGGCTCCATGACATCTTTGTCACATGTTGGCCTTTACCATGTGTTCCAGGCTCTATGGGACCTCGGCTGTCTTGTTCACCACTGTGTTCTCAATGCCTTGACTGTGGGGGCCCTAACATAGCAATGAGGTTGTCTAATCTGGGGGACAGGGAGCTCTCTAGACTTCTTAGACCTTTTCTGAGGCTGAGAAAGAGGGCGTAAGTGTCAGGCTGCAAACGCATGAAGAATGGGAGGCCCCCAGCCTGGAGGCCCTCTGCCATTCCACCTAAATGTAAGATCTTAGTTGTTAAGGAACCATTTCCTGGATTACTGCATTTTCATATTCCAGCAAACCAGGAGAGCCTCCCAGCTGGTGGTCATTCAGGTTTGGGGACTGCTTGGCTCAGCACAGTTCAACAGATTTTCTTGGCACATGAATCTCAGAGCCTCTAAATAGTTGATAAGTATTTTCCAAGAATCTGGGGTCTCTAGAGCCTTGAAGCTCATCTATCTGACCTTGGCATGTCCCCTTGCTTGCAGCAAACAGCCAGTCCCAGACCTGGGCACATGACTGGGCTGGTGGGGTGCTCACATGAGCGTGGGCATTTGGGTCGGGGCTGGGGGGGTGAGGTATGCAACTTAGGCAGCAAGAAGAACCATCTCCTCCCAGTGCTGGGCTGGGCCATCTGCTCCTCCCAGCACAGGCTACCTGCGGACAGTTTCAGGGACACTGCACCCAGGAGAGGGGCGTGTGAGCAAGTGTGTCTGTGTGGGAGCTTGTGAGTGTGCAGGAGCGCCTCAGCACCCCAGTTTTCTGTCCCCACTGTGTGTTGTTGGGGGCCCTTCCTAGCGTTTGTGAGCTGGGTGGTCACATCTGGAAGAAGACCGAGTCCTGTGTATAGTCACAAGTCACAACCTGACCAGATCTTTCCTTCTTTGCTTCCTCTCATTGTGATAGGTCCAGAGCAGCAGCCCTTTCTGAGGAGCCTCCAAACGTAAGTGGCACTGAGCTCTCCCCACGGCGATGGGTTATGCCAACTTGGCCGTGACTTGAGGTGTGGTGCTCGGAGCTTGGTGTTTCCTCCAGGCTCTGAGAGGGGAAGGCAGACCCGGGCCGTGGGACCTTATCCACAAGTTGTCACCTCTGGGTGGCAGGTCCATAGCCTGGGTTGGCTACCTGTGCCAGCCTGTGCCAGGGAGGCAGCCCTGCAAATGGGCCAAGCACTGATTTTGGGGTCCTGGCCTAGTTCCCATCCTGGCTTTGCCACCAAGCAGTGATGGGGTCCTCGCCGAGCTGATTCTGAGGATTGGGGTCGGACTCTTGTGAAAGGGTGATCCACTTGGCTTCCGGCACAGACAGGATGCTCCAGGAATCGGGGCTGCTATCCCAATTTTCTCTTCATTAAACTTTTTATTTGTAAAAAAGTGAAACCCTTCAGAAAAGTTGCAAGAATATTACTGTGAATTCCCATATACCCTTTACTTAGATTTTCTCATTGTCAACATGTGCCACTTTGGCATCATCTTTTTCTCTCTATGGTATAAAGATAGACTCTTTAATTCTCTCTCTCTCTCTCTCTCTCTCTCTCTCTCTCTCTCTCTCTCTCTCTTCTCTTGCTGAACCATTGGGGGTTTTGCAGTCAAGATGCCTCTTTACCCCTAACTAACCCTTCAGCATGTGTTTCGTAAGAACAAGGCCATTCGTCCTTTTATGTAAGCACATAATTATCAACCCAGGACGTTTACTACTGGCACAGTTCTGTTATCTAATCTACAGACCTTAATGACATCTCGCTTTTGCTGATCGTATCCTGGCATTTACAGAAGCTCCCCTACCCCCCTTACGTAGTCGTTCAGGATCACGACACTGTTTCTAAAGGGGGTTGATGGGGCAGGAGCCTGACTCTGTCGCTTTTCTGCAGATGCCTTATTTGCCTTGATGTAAATGATCTTGCTGTTGGGGCTTTCAGAGTCTTGTAGTTGTGACAGTCAATAAGAAATACATTTTACGACAGGATGCCGCATGTGCTCACACACGTACACGCGCATGAAACTGAAACCACAGTTTCAAAAATAATAACTCATGTCCTCACCATCTTCGGGCTCTGTTCTCTCCTCGTTTCTTGTAGAAAAACGATAGCCCTGACTCTCTAAGTTGATTTCATGACCCAGTAGATTCTGCTCTGGAATTGGGAAATCCTGGCTTCCTGGGCAGTAATTTCTCCTGGCGGGGGTGGGCAAGGGAGGGAATGCCCCCTCACCAAGCTCCCACTGGTCCAGGGTTGGGATTTGGGGTGATCGAGGAAGCCAGGACTAGGAGAAAAGGCCCAAAGACCCTTGGCTTGCTACTGCCAGTGGTGGACCTGATTCTGTCTTTGTCACCAAGACTCCCCAACCCGGGTGCTCTGCCACAGTCCACTGGACCCCATGGAGACCTGTTCTTCATGCTGTGACATTAGAGGTGGACAGCCAGGCAGTCCTATCCCTAGTGGCTCAGGACACCTCTCTGACCAGCTGCCAAGTAGGAATTGTCCCACTGCATATCACCTCGAGTCATCACCATAAACATCATGAATGCCAGTAAGAATACTCCCTGACATTTAACTCTTTAACAGCTGAACAGGGTGCTGAGAGGCACATTTTAACCTACAACAGTCCTCTGACTTGGGTGCTGTTATTCTTTTTGTAAAAATGACAGATAACATTTATTGAGTGCTTGTTCCAGATCACTGCTAGGCACTTGACCGGCTCATGCATTCCTCACAGCAGTCCTGTGAAGTGGACACAGGCATTATCTCCCTATACAGATAGGGAAGCTGAGGCTTAGAGAGGTGAATTGACTCCCCCCTAGGTCACATGGCGAGGAAGGATTTGAAGTCCGGTTGGTCTGACCCCAGTGCCAACATCATCCAGCGGTGCCTTCCCCTCTCCCTCCCCGAGACTGGGAGCAGACTCCCACTTCAGCCCCTTCCTGAGGCCCAGTCCTGGTTAATGAGTAGCCCAGGGCAGCTGGAAGCCAGGTGCCTGCTGTTGAGAAGCTGGAATGTGAGTTCTGCTTTCAGATAAAGAGAATATTGTGCTAGGGGCCTGGCCCCCACCAGGGCTGGTGACTTTTTAGGAATTAAACAGAAACCAGCCACTGTTCCGCTCTTCCGAGGCTTGCTGACCCATCCACGCTGACCCATCCACGCTGGGTCAGCAGCTGGGGTTCCAAGAACCCCAATACATTTTCACTTTTCATCTCCCTGGCGAGTTCCTAGAGCAGGGGTGGGGATCGTCCGGCCTGCGGGCCGAATAAGGCCTGCAAAATCATTTGATCTGGCTCTGCCAAGGCATTTTATAGGCAAGGCAGTTGAGGCTGACAGGTGGGTTTGATCTCAGGCCTGCCTGATGCCTCCTCCAAACAGCCCTCCTGGGTTTACTTTTGACATGACAAGCAACATGGGATTTAGAGGAGGGTATCTTTAGAGGACAGAAGCTGTCATCCCTGAAGTCTGAGCACTACTGGGTTGCAACCCTCCTCACTGTGATCTCCAGGTTCCCATCTGAAAAAAGAGCTGATAATCGCTTACAAGACTCTCACAGGGTTGTGCGCAGCCAAGATGATGATGTGGGACCCAGCCAAAATCCTTATTCCTGACAGGACAGCCCATATAGTGGAAAGCCCAAGGAAATGGAGAGTCAGACAGTTCCTGGTTCGAATCCTGACTCCACCCTGTGCCAGCTGTGTGAGCTTGAGGGGAGGGTCACTGAACTTCTGAGCCTCAGATTCCCCACCTGTAATCTGTAACATGAAACAATAACAGCACCCAGGAGGATTAGAAAAACAGCGAGTGCGGGATCGGGGGTAATGGTCATCACAGTGGAATTTTGAAGCACTCAACAGCCTAACAAAATCAGTTCCAAGAACCCCACTACATTTTCACTTTTCATCTCCCTGGCGAGTTCCTAGAGCAGGGGTGGGGATCGTCCGGCCTGCGGGCCGAATAAGGCCTGCAAAATCATTTGATCTGGCTCTGCCAAGGCATTAAGGGTGAATTAATTAAATGTTTGACCAAATATAGCAGGCTAATTTTTAAGTTGATAATTTTGTATGGCCAGGGAATGACATAAATATCCAAATGGCCCTTGGCAGAAAAAAGGTTCCCCACTCCTGGCTTTACTGCTCCTCTGGGCCTGGAGCTAAAACACAGCTGAGGCCTAGAGCAACCCCACCCCACCCGAAAATCAGATCCACCTACCTGGGTGTCGGAAAATTTTAGCAAGAGGGGAACCTGTCAGGAGAATTCCCATGGAGCCTTCTCCCTACCTTTCCAGGTTGTAAGCTGGCCGGGAAAGTCTGCTAATATCAAGACCTGTGATTGTTTTTTTTTTTGTTTTGTTTTTTGTTTTTTTTTAAATATATGTTTTATTGATTTTTTTTTTAATATATTTTATTGATTTTTTACAGAGAGAAAGGGAGAGAGATAGAGAGTCAGAAACATCGATGAGAGAGAAACATCGATCAGCTGCCTCCTGCACATCTCCTACTGGGGATGTGCCCGCAACCCAGGTACATGCCCTTGACCGGAATCAAACCTGGGACCTTTCAGTCCGCAAGCCGACGCTCCATCCACTGAGCCAAACCGGCCTCGGCAAGACCTGTGATTGTTAAAAGCCACAAAGTCAGCACTAGCTAGCTACCTCTACGGGCCAAGGCAATGAGAAGGGTATTTATTGTTTGTTACCTGATTTAAAAATTGAGACATATTTGACATAGGAAACCATTGTGTAAGTTTAAGGTGTACACATGTGAATGTGATACATTTGTATTGATGTATTGATTGCCATAGTACTCTTACATAACACTTCCATCGAGTCACATAATTATCATTTTTTATAGCGTTGGGAAGTAATATCTTTAATGCAGAACATTTGGAGAGCACAGAAAAGTCAAAAGGAGAAAAGAAAACGTATCCCAATTTCCACCATCCAGAGATAGCTATTGACTGGGAGAACGGCACCAGGTGTTAGACCAGTGGCATCAGACCAGACCTCTAGCCAGCAACCTGGGTACTTGAGTTCTGGCTAAGAAAGAATTCAGAGCCAAGACCAACTATAAGAAAGTTTATTTAGAAAGTCACAGAGGTAGAAGATGTGAGCCATCTGAGCTGTGTGGGCTCAGGAGCAAGTTACAAAGGGCCCAGGAGCTTAGGAAAAAGAACGACAGGAAAAATCGCCTGTGGAAAGAGGGTGGGGAAGGGTTCGTGTGCTCCTAGAGAGCACAGCATTGGGTGCTCTGTCCTGAGGGCTTATAAGGGTGGGGATTTTAGGGGAGGTCCTTGGAGAGGATCTCCATGGAAGATTCACCAGCTCTCCAGGTGTGTCCTTTCAGGGTCACGTTCTCCGCTTATTAGTTGGCACCAGGGCAAGGGGTCATTAGTCAATTCTCCGGTAAAGTGGCGTGCTTGGTGAGCGGGGACAGGTTCCCCTCGTGCTGGTCCTGATGTCAGCCATGGCTTCGCTTGTCTGTTTTTACTGCTCCTCTGGGCCTGGAGCTGGAACACCACTGAGGCCTAAATGTTATTCCTGTTCCTAGGGGTTAATGCTCAAGGGAGTGTTGTGCAAGGGCCTGCATGGGAGTCGAATGAAGCCACTCTTTAGCCCCTATTCCTCCTCCAAGGGGGTCTACCGCATGACTGGCAACACGCCAGGGGAGGAAAGGTCAGGGGAGGGTCCGAACCTCCTGACCAGCGATTTGCTAGGGAGGAAAGATTACCCTCGGGGCGAGGTCCTAGTTTTCCCAGTTTTGCCTGTTGCTAGGCACCCGGGGCTTTCCACCCAGGTGACCTTCTGTACCTGGCCCTTCCTCTTTGCTCTGCTCATGTCTGCGTGACTGCCTATCACATAGCCATATATGATTTTAAAATTTAAAATTTTCTTTCAAAAGTGAACGCTCAGTGTGGCTATGCTTGGGAGCCAACTTCTCCCTGCCCCCCCCCCCCCCCGCCCCCCT